GAAATGTTCTGTTCCTGGCCCCTGCAGCAATTCTCTTGAAACACTTCTTACACCACAGAATTCACTGCTTCCTTTCACTAGGAATTCTAGAAATTTCTCTTTGGGGATCTTCCTGCTTTTTGTAGGTCCTATCTCAGATCAATCTTCCCACACAGGCCCTATGCTTCTCTCTGTAGGGGACTCAGCCTGACTTCCCTAGACTCTTCAGAGGTGAACTCCCCTTTCTGTTTAGTTCTTCACCTATGTAGAAACTCTGAGGCGGTGTCTACATTGGCAAGATTTTGCGCAAAAGCGGCCGCCTGTCTACACTGGCCGCGAGTTCTTGCGCAAGAACACTGATGTTCTAATGTAAGAAATCAGTGCTTCTTGCGCAAGAACTATGACGCTCCCGCTGAGGAATAAGCCCTCTTGCACAAGTGTAAAATGGCCATTGGAGCTTTCTTGCGCAAGAAAGCGCCTATACTGGCACGGATGCTTTTGTGCAAAAGCACATTTCTTGCGCTAAAGCACATGCCAGTGTAGACGCTCTCTTGCGCAAATACTTTAACGCAAAAACTCTTGCATTAAAAGTATTTGCACAAAATCTTGCCAAAGTAGACAGCCTGATTTAAGCTAACCATGTGATCAGGGGGATCACTATATTTTGGCAGGCCTTTATATCTATTTTTAGAAATAATATGCTGTTTTTCCATAACCTTCTTCTTTTGGAGATCCCAGCTCTATTTAAGTAGAGCTCTTCCTGCTTCATCACCACAAAGGAATGGTCAGTCCCATTACAACTAGATGGTGTCGCTAATTAGTCTTGATGTTGCCAGGTTAGTGAGGCTGAAGGATAGCTCCTAAGTTAAGGGCAATGCTGATCCCAGCTTGCCTTAAAGGGAAGCCAGCTCATGACAGGGAGAGACACAAATATGCTAAAAGCCAAGTTCAAACACAGTCCCTTGGATTAATTGATTCAGTATCCTGCTGCAGTTCACTTAGGAATGTCTCTTTTTAATTGAGGGGCTGAATTATTTTGTTTCTTATCTTCCCTTTCTAGTTCTCTTCTCCCACGCAAGAAAGCTGAAAACACAAAAGAGATAAAAGAGAAGACTTGTTGCCACAGAGTCTGGCTTTCAGTGATTTTAACATGAAAGAACAATACATTTGCATAGCTGTATGTTATGCTACATCACAAATTTGGAAATATTTTTAATGCAAGAGCGAGCTTCCAAGAGTACTACAATAATGAAGAACAACTCAACATATTTAGTTTATCAGTAGTTTGGCAAATACAGACTATTTTAATATTTTTCATCGTTTTCTATTGGTAAATCATTTTTCCTTCCCACTTCCAGTGCTGGGATACATTCTCTTTTCCATGAGAACTAGACCCTACAAATCCTGATATGTGCTGAGTGCTCTAATTCCAATGGGGCTCAGTGAGAACAGGTGGTGGCCAGCATTTCCAAATACCAAATTATCCTTTTGTGATATGTTGTGACAAAGAATCTAATATCTAGACAGTAGGTCCCATGAGTAAATTCTCAGAAAAGTTCTTCCCAAATGTTCATTCAGTAATTCAATGTCTAATGTGCTTCAGCAACAGCAGTGTAAACTACAAGTTGTGGGCTACAAACTGCTGCATGTTGGGAGAAGCTTTACTTGCGCAGGGCCTGCAGGAAGGTGCTTCCTGGACACATTTCATTCTTGGCCCTCTGGACATTGTCATCAAGCACTTGCCCCATGATCTCTCTGGCTGCACAGTATCTAGCCCATCTGCCTCTAAACGATACCCAGGAAACACTTATGGCTGTGTCTAGACTGCATCCCTTTTCCGTAAAAGGGATGCAAATTAGACACAGCGCAATTGCAAATAAAGCGGGGATTTAAATCCCTCCTGCTTCATTTGCATAAAAACGGCTGCCGCTTTTTTCCGGCTCGGAGCTTTGCCGGAAATAAGCGCCAGTCTAGATGCGGATCTTTCGGAAAATAAAGCCTTTTCCGAAAGATCCCTTATTCCTCTTAAAATAAGGAGTAAGGGATCTTTCGGAAAAGGCTTTATTTTCCGAAAGATCCGCATCTAGACTGGCACTTTTTTCCAGCAAAGCTCCGAGCCGGAAAAAAGCGGCAGCCATTTTTATGCAAATGAAGCAGGGGGGGTTTTAAATCCCCGCTTCATTTGCAATTGCGATGTGTCTAATTTGCATCCCTTTTACGGAAAAGGGATGCAGTCTAGACACAGCCTTATATGTACTTCTGCTTCACACCATTCAGTTCTCTCACGCCCTTATCCCTGTGACCACTTAGCACCCCTCACAATCAGACCTCCCAACCAACATCTCTCAATTTTCCTGCTAGATCTTCTGTGGCTCAGCATTACAGCTAAGTCTATAATAGTTCCCTATCCCCTACAAGAATAACTAAAGGTCCAAACTAACTAACGTTTACCTACAGTATCCTAACTTTATAGTTCTTCTGCCTTAACTCAAATCTTCTGTTTCCTGCCCCCTGTAGTGACTCTCTTGAACCACTTCCCTCACAGAATAGCAAGACACACTGCCCTCAAGAAGGGCAGGAACACCAGTGGGCTAGTCTGCACTCCAGTCTGTTGTCATGTCCTGCTGCAGATATAAACTGGCTGCTCCTTCATGGAGTCCTGAGCATGGGTGTTGTTACCCAGGGAATGAGATAACATTAATTTAGAATAGAATTAGACTCACTCTAACTGTAAATGATCCCTGATCTAGAAGCGAGAGTCGTCTGGTAATCTGTATCTCTATCACCGGCGGACCACTGATCCAAATAATCAGGCAAAAAAGGTTTAGGGCCAAACCATGTATTTTAGAACACTGAACAGCAAAACAGGAGCAATATCACAACCCACCCTATCCCAAGATATAAAAGAGATAGAAAAGATCCCAATACAAAAGGCTATACTTTACAAAATGTCAGGCGATCAGTGCCTGCGACCTACTACCTCTTGGCTAATTTTAAGCCTCGAGGGAGGACTAGCGGGGAGATCCCCCGACGCAGTATCCTCGCCTTCTGGCCTAGGGCTGCCTAAAGTTCCTCAGTCATCTAGGATAATGGCTCTCCCTCGATATGGTACTGGTTGGCTCTTCAGCAAAACCATCTAGTCCGGAAGGTGAGTGGAATGATGACAGAGTCCAAGTCCAAAAGTAATAGGACTCCACCTCAAAAACCCTTACGTGGGAGTTCTCCACACGTGGGCGGTATGAGAGTCAAAAACCAAAGGCTACACCACAGTCCATTAAACCATAGATGTTACATGAACACAAAAGGGTATGAAACCTAAGGAACCCACAGAGCAAGAGGGACCAAAGGAACCTGAACTCACCTAAATCCAAGCCGTTTATTGGCCTTGAGGCGGGAAAAGGGCTCAACGTGCTGAGTGCAAGGTTTTGGGGCTATGTGCAGATGATTAGAGGGATGAGTGCAGCTAATTGGGGGGCGAAGTGCAGCTTTGGTGCAGGGTGCAGCACTATGGTGATGAGTGTACATGATGTTGCGATGAGTGCATAGGTATAGTATCGTGTGCAACACTGCTCTTTTGGCGGGAAGCTACACTGGTAAAGACATCCCTCATACAAAATGGTGGTTTCACAGACTCCATTTTGTATACCCATATTCATAGCATTTACACTCAGGGTAACAGTGTGTACCTGCAACAGATCACTAACTCTCCCAACACCTGTCCCTACTGACTCCTTACCCCACTATTTTCCCCCAGGCTGGCACACACCAGGCTCATTGAGAAACCTCAGGCCTACCGCCCAAAGCAGCATAAAATGCCCCTTAGTATCTTTCCCAGACCTAAAGAATAACTCTGAGTAGCTCAAAAACTTGTTTCTCTTACCAACAGAAATTATCCAATAAAAGATATTACTTCACCCAACTTCTTTCTCAAATAAGCCATGAGGCAGGCTTGCCCTTTCCTGAACAGCCTCATGCTCAGATGGTGAACATCGGGGGGGGGGGGGCGTAGGGGAGGAGGGTTAAATTATTTTTCTGTTATGCTTTTCACATCCAGTATCTTTTATTTAAGATAATCGGTTCATCTGAAGAAGAATGAATAAGTTATCAACACTGCTTATGATCAGCTGGCTAGCAGAAGTCATCTCTTACCAGTGATGTGTCAACATATTTTGGCAAGCTTCATTTCCCATTTACTTTTAATTTTAGAGACAGTGTACTATCTTTCAGCAAGCTTTTCTAGGACAGTTATTCTATCACTAGATTTCTGAAGTATGAAAAAACTCATAAGATCAAACATCAAGAGTTAGCTAACATTTGGTTGACAGAAGTTTCATGAACCAGGATTTTTATTAGACAGTCAGATGCAGACTTGAGCACAGCAAACTCCCACTTCTTGTGGATTAAAAAATTGTTCTTTTTAAGGGTGCTGTAGCAAAGCAACATACTACCCCTGTCTTGTGGTCATCTTAAACAGACTATTCAAAGATGTTCTACGACTAAACATCACTATATACGCTATAAACCTTACTCTCCCACAATCTTGACTGATCAAGGTGCCACATTTACAGTATCATTTTCTCTTCAGACAGCCCTCTACAGAGGGCAATAGATTTCTCTGCCTGGAGATCTTTTCCTTTCTGTTTCTAACTTTGTTGGCCTATGTTTCCCCTTCCAGCCTTTCCTTCTTGTACCTTCTATTTGCTGCATTCATGGTCTTATTAGTTCTTTAAACCTCCTCCTCATGTCCTAAGCTGCTAATTAGGCACAGTCGGATTCATGGGAACATAATTGATTACATGATCAGAGTTCTGGTTTAGGTGTTGGTTCCTAGCACTTTGTAACCAGTGGGGAAAAGTTGACCTTGCAGAATACTGTCTGACAGAGTCTGCATTTGCAAAAGTCCTCTTTTTGTAGCAAGAAACTCAGTGTGGGACAGATACAAGGCACTGGTTTCTTAAGTATTCATATGCCACAGAGTTGATTAGATATAAGCAAAATGATCAATACTAGAAACTGAAGTCTAAATCAAGATTTTTTTTAAAGACTATTTTTCATATCTTTAGAGCGAAGGAGTTTTTTCACAGGAAGATCTAATTTCTTTTAATCTCTTCCATTTGGTTTCTGTTGGTTTTTCTTTAGTTACTGATTGGTAGTGCAGGTACAGTTTCTCTCACTTTCCAATTTCTGTGACCTGTATTTTTTCCACATGAATGGTTTCTCAGATTGCAGCAGCAACATCTGAGACAACCTTTTAAAAACACTATAATGGAAACTGTAGCAAAGTACTGTGCATGTCTGCATATTTATCATAACACTTGTGACAAAGGCACCGATAGGACATTACTTGTTATATTTTTTAAAAATTATTGTGCAATAGATCCTGAAAACCTCACAGAAAAAACATGTTCATTGATAGAGTTTTCCCGAAATGCAAATCAGTCTCTGTGGCTACAGCTTACATCTATTTTAGTCAAGTCTCCAGCTAACAGTCTGTGACAGCTCATTCCCAAAGCAATGCCTGCAACTATGAAATAATTCACTTTTGCAGTGTATTGGATGTTAAAACAAACCCAAAAAAACAAACAAACAAAAAAATCCGGGATGTCTCCTGCACAGCAGTGCAAGGACTAACAATCTAACCCAGTGATTTCCAACCTTTTTAAGCATAAGATCACTTTTTGAATTTAAGTACAGTCCAGGATCTACCTCAAACCCAAACATCCTTGCCACACCTCCTTCCTGCCACTGCTCACTCCATCCTCCCTCCCCCATCCACACCCACTCAGTCTGGGGACAAGGGCTTTGGGTGCAGGAGGGATTCAAGACTGGGGCCAAGGTTCGGAATGCAGGCTCCAGCTGACACCACTTACCACAGGTGGCTTCTGGGTGGTGGTGCAGGGGGGTAAGACAGTCTCGCCCCTACCCTGGCCCTGAACTACCCCCAAAGCAGTCTGCAAACTCTCTCCATCCTTGCCCCCCTCTGATCTATAGAGATGGGGTACAGGGTAGAGGGAGGGGCACCCTGACATCAGTATCCCCCTCTTTCCTCTTCTTCCCATGCCCTGCACAGCAAGCAGGAGGCTCCCAGGGATAAGAGGCACCTCCAAGGTAAAGGGCAGGAGCAGCACCGCAGTGCGGAGAGGGGCAGATCAAGTGCTGGCACTTGATAGTCTCTCCACCAAACCTGTCAGAATCACCTGTAAAAGTTTCCGAGATCTACCAGTAGATCCTGACCTACTGGTTGGTGATCACTGATCTAACCCAAAACCCACTGACCTAAAGGAGAGTCTGTGTGTGGACGTCAATGAGTTTTGGTCAGGCTGCAGCTGTCTAAAAAGATTTGGGCCAGATTCTCAGATGGCATAAATTAGCGTAACCATTGGTATTTTTTTTTTATAGTCCAGAATGATGGCTCTATCTTGCATCACATAGAATGTACAATGTCAAATCAGAAGACTTTCTAAAATCTATAGGTTTTATTCTTTTTCAAGTAATTTACTATCTGGTCTTACAAAACCTTCCTAAAAGCTGCAAAATAGCTTCATCTCTGGACCTCTTCCTAACACCCTGAAAGAGAGTGAGTAGCACAGAGTTATTTCAGTGGATTATTTTTGTGGCTGTCAGGATGACTAGGATGTGAGGTGGTGTAACTGTTCAGAGAGGGTGTGTCTAGACTACATGCCTCTGGCAAAAGAGGCATGTAGGTTAGGCTACCTGGCATAGGGAAATGAAGCGGCGATTTAAATAATCGCCACTTTATTTAAATTTAAATGGCTACCACGCTGTGCCCATCAGCTGCTTGTCGGCTCAGCACGGCAGCCATGTAAATTTAAATGAAGCGGCGATTATTTAAATCGCTGCTTCATTTTCCTATGCCTGGTAGCCTAATCTACATGACTCTGGCGACAGAGGCATGTAGTCTAGACGTACCCTAACTTTATTTGAGCGATGCTGATTCTGACCCCTTTTCTCCTAACATGTCATGGCACAGATAATTTAGATATTAGCTGAAGGGCTGTCCAGTGTTGTATTGGCAGTTTCTCAACACAAAAATATGTTGCTTACTGTGCGACATAGTGCTCCCTATTTTGTCCTGCTGCGTTTTTTGTTTGAGTTTACACTGAACAATTATAAAGAATGGAGCAAAATAACTGATCTTAAAGTATGTAAAAAATTGCAGAGAGTCCAGCTACAGATTCAGAGAAATGTGTAACATTTCTCAGATGAGGGAACAGCTAATTTTGAATATCAGCATGACATGCATCCTGGAGCCGGAACCTGATCCTGCTTCCATTGAAATAAATGGGAGTTTTACCATTGGCTGTAATCAGATCAGGCCCCAGAAATGCATCACATGAGCAGATGATGTATACATGTGTAAAAACAATCCTATTCTATAACATATAGATACACAAATTCCCATTAAAATGCTTCTAAACTTTTCTCTCATTCACTGCAACAGGAGCTTTGTCATCTGAAGAAATGTTACCAAATTGTAGTTGAGTATGCTTTAAAAACACATTTCATAGTTAAATAGCTCAACTGTTTCAAAACCCTTTAAATACCAAATAGACTTAGTCTGTTTTATGGAATAATTGGTTAAATTTTCTTAGAAAAATTAAGCCCTCTTATTATCCATATTTTTGAATCCATATTTTTGGCAGCACTCTATCAGACCAATGACTTAATAGATTTAAGCCATATTTGGTAACAAAAATTACCCAACAACTAAGAACTTGCATGTTAACCTGATCCATTTTATAACTGCCAAGATATTAAACCACTGCAATAGGAGCAGATTATAGCAAACCCTGTTGCCTTGTAATTACCATATATAATCATAAATCACAGTACATTAAAATAGGTCACCACCTAGGTTGAGATACACTTGTAAATCTTAACATCTTTGCCTCAGTCCTCTCTTCCTAAACAATGCATCACCTATGGGGATATTTTCACCCATTACATATGGACACCCAGGCATATTGATACAGACCCTGTTAAATTTTGAAAATATTATTTCCTACTGTAAAAATACAAAATTTAACTAATATGATTTAAAATGATGGCAATTTGTATACAAAGATTTAATTCCTTAATTTACTGCTAAGGACCAAAGGTTCTGCATAGCTCTTACTCTGGTTTGCAGTAGGAGTGAAGAGGGAAGCATAATAAGGAACCTTCCCTGCCAACTTTCTGTGAGCTAGTCCTGCAGCCCAGATGGACTGGAACATCAACACCAAATTAAGAAAGAAGGAATCAGCCATATAGACAAGATCAGTGCCTTTCCCTTTCAAAATTGCTATGACGTCTCCCCTAAAACAAAAAGAAGATATCACAGCCAGACCCACTTGATGACAACTGGGTAGATTTTTTTTTAAAGCTCCTAACATTCATCCTTCCTTTTCCTGTATTCTTAAGGCTATACATCCCCCTGAGTTCTGTCTAAGAAATTTATTAGTTTGTTTTTGAGCTGGTCAGATTACACTTAGATTCTTACACTCATTGATCTTAGAGATAGAAAACAGCAACCACAAGCTGAAGGAAAAAATAGAGATAAATAAGAAGTCTAGCAAAATTTTCAGCTAAATAGACACAGGAAGTCATGGAAAGATTAAAAATGAAGCAGACTTTCAAAAATAATTCTAATAAGATAAAAAAAGAAACAGGATTAAAAATAAATTCAGGAAAAGTAAAACAATCTTATCAACAGTGTAGCTGAGATTTTCTAGGGAGCACCAGTTAAGCCTAGATGAATGTTTATTTCCCTAATTGTCAGGGGATATTTTTATCAGCTAGTTTTCACTTGCTTCAACTAGCTCTGTATTCTACTGTGCCAAAGACATGCAATCTTTACCTCCTATCTCTCTGGAGGCAAACAGCTGGATTATCGAGCTTTAGACCCAATTAATCGTTTACCATGGGCCTATATACCACCCTCTTTTGACAATGTAATCCAACTCCTAGAGTTCCTAAGCCTGAGTAACCTCTCTCTATACAAGTCAGATTCTGTACCCAGCCTGGCCTTCCACTTCATAATCAAAATCAAAAGATACATTCCACACTTGTATCCTTGGTTGCTATGACAACCCCAGGCACCAGTTAAACATTCTATGGCACCTGCTGGTGTTAATGTCACAATTAATCAGAATCTGCATTCAAGTGTGTCCTCCACAATGTTAAAAGATCTGTTCTGTTTAAGGTAAATATTTCACCTTTTAGGTTTTCAATATTTGTTCATTGAATTGTTCAGGAACTAATATAAAATATTCTTATTGTTCAAATAAAAATGTTTCCTAGTGCATTGAAAACTGGTTACGAGGGATGTGGCAGTAGAATTTGCTGAATAATAGAAAACAATTCATAAATAACAGCTGTATCACTATAGTTCATGCATTTATATTGTTCATTATTTGCAGATATTCTGAACAATGTCAAAATACACAGCAGTCATTACTTTAATAGATTTTTTTATTTGGCAGTATAATATAAGAACCCACGCAGCTTTGCTTTGCTTAATTTTCTCAGTTTTTAGTTTTGATAGGAATTCTGGCAATTCAAATTCACATTCTGAGAGACATCCCAGAGAGAGAAGGTTTTTTTTACATTTTTGCTCAGTTTCCAAACTGTAGAAATTTGCAAGCCAGAAGCCAAAAATGTTTTATATTAATTTTAACCTCCATCTTCTCTGAAACTGAACAAAATATTTTCCTCTGTTTAGAAGTGAATTGAAATACTTTAGTGCCAATTTTTCAGAGGTGTTTTTTTTAAGCATCAGTTTCAACCTATTTACTGTAGCTTAAAAAAATAATGATTTGGATAATGTGACAAAATTATGCCATGTGACAGAACTTGACATGAATACATTTTCAGAACGTGGCGCCATTTCCAACTGATATTACTATACCTCTTCCAGATAGCCAGATACAACTGCTGCAATAGGACCTGATCCAGCAAGAGTCATCAGCAAGTATGTGACTGAGCACATGACTAATCCTATTTATTTTAAAGGGACTTTAGAATTATGTATGTGTTTTTTTTAAGAGTATACAAATAGATTATTTGCTGTGAATGCAACATTGAATTTCTTCCAAGGCCTCAAATTTCCCATCTATATGTGATGGCTGATAAATAATAGATATTTTGTTCAAGGTAGATCACATAATTTAGTAAATAGGAACAAACCACAACATGTTTAATTCTTACCTAGAGCTGGGTGGGCAATGGTTCCCTTATGCCACAAATATTTTTGAGAGTTTGATTTTTTTTTTTTTACTATCTCAAAAAGTAGTAATCTCAAAAATGTTCAGAAATTGAAAACAGTTTTGGTTTGGTTTGAAAAATTTAATTTCAATAACTTTTAAATGTTTTGTTTTTACTTCAGCCTTTTTTTTCTTGTAACTTTTTTCAGTCTAATTAGCTTAAATTTTGAAACAAAGTAGTTTAAAAATGGAAAAATACATTGTTTTCATTTAGAAAATGCTGAACTATTGATAGATTTGAAACATTTTTCAACCTTTCTCAAGGAAGGAGATTTTGTTGAAACTACCTCACAATCATATATAATGAGGCTCTTGTGATCTCATATATACTTGTTCCATTCTTATTGAAAAATATTATGAGGTTTTTAAAAACGATTTATAGATTTTATGGCACAGAAGACCATAAAGCTATCTAATCTGACCTCCTATATAACACAATGTAGAATCTCATCCCATTACTTCTTTATAAATCTCAGTAACTGGTGACTGCCTAAAGCATATCTTTGAGAAACCATCTAATCTCAATTTGAAAATATCAAGGGCCGGAGAATCAAACACGTCTTAGAAATTTGTTACAGTGCTTAACCACTTTTACAGTTTAAAATGCATGCCTTATTTTTTAATTAGAATTTGTCTGACTTTAATGTCCAGCCATTGTTTCTTTATATGCCTTATTAGATTAAAGACCACTTTAGTATTCTATATCTAATCCCCATAAAGGTAGTTATACATCATAATCAGGTAACCTCTTGGTCTTCTTTTTGCAGGCTAGTTATAGCATTTTTATATTTTCCATTGTCCATGTGCCTTCTTTCTTTTAATATTGTTATTGAAGTGCAATTTTGTTTTTGAAAAAAAATGTGGATGAGTATTGCAGAGAAACATTTAGTAGCAACCTAGTTAAATTAATCCCATAATCATATATAGCTTTCAACAAGGCTTGTTGAAGTCAGTTTGAAAGATATTTTAGATCTCTTGCCCAGTAATAGGAGAGAAATGGAGAAAATCCTATTTGCCAGTGATAATTGACATGCTATATTTAATGAGATTCTTTAAAAGAGACTTTTATCTCTGTGTTTGGATATAGAAGGTATGTACATGCCTATCAAAAAAGGTCTAAGAGTCTCTTCTGCACTTTGACAGGCTCACAGAATGGGTAACGGTAGAAGGAACAAGGATGTAGTGCAGACATGCTAGATCCATGTTCAGACAGGCTATGGGTATGTCTACACTACAGTGCTATTTCAAATTAACTTAATTCAAAATAGTTAATTCGGATTAAGCTAATTCGAAATACCGCATCTATACACAAAAACTTTTTCGAAATAGCATTTTGCTATTTCGAAATAGCACGTCCACACTGAGTGGACCCTGAACAGAAGTTAAGGCTGGCCGGAACCAGTGCCAGCAGGGCATCAGTTTAGGACTTAGCCTCAGGCAGCAGCCCCACACACTAACTGAGCTCCATGCTTAAAGGGACCCTATTCCCACCCTGAACAGACAGTTCTCAGGGTTCCCCGCTTGCTTTTCTACCTCGATGAGGGACAGCAAAGCAGTCCTGTCTTGGAGTGCCCGAGTGCCCGCACTCGGGACACCACAGCACTCGGCCACAAAGAGCCAGAGCTGCCCCGGGCATGCCGGTGTGTCTCGTGGGGTTGTTGCCATCAACCCGGCTGCACTTGCTGCAGGCTGCCATCTGTGGGGTCCATTGGGGGGCTGTCAGGATCCAGGAGGCCCTGAGGGAGAGCATCCACCCTGAGGAGCCCTCAGAGCATCTCCGGTCCTCCCCACTGGGGGCTCATGCCCCATTCCTCCCTCACATTCTTCCACTTACCCCTCCCTAGCCCCCGTTCCTGATGTCAAATAAAAGACACGTATGTTCAAAAATAGACACTGGGTTTACTGAACAAAACTGGGGGGGGGGGTGGATGAACCTCTGGGGAGACTGGGAAAAGGAGGTGGGAGAGGGGAAGAGAGAGGGTGAAAGAGGGGAGGGGGAAACCTGGGAGGAGGGAGCTGGAAGGGGGAAGCAAGGAGGAGGGGAAGCTCAGGGCTCAGGGTTGGGGTTCTCTCCGGACCAACTTGACTTTCATGCAAACCTGCTCCTGGGTTCGCATGTGGCCTTTGGTGACCAGGCTGGCAGTTATCCTGCCATAGACGGCTGCATTCCTCTGTCTAGTGCGGAGATCATGGATATTGTGGGTTCCCCCCCAGACCCAAATAAGGTCAATGATCTCCACCCTGGACCAGAAAGGCGCCCACCTTCTCCAGCCCGTCAGGCTCCTGGGAGCTGGCAGACTGCTCCTGGGGAGCGGTGGAGGCTACCAGTGGCTTGCTGGCTTATATTTTGGGGCCACTGGGTCAGGGGCCACTGCTGGCTCTGGGCTGGCAGGCTTGGAGCTGGCACGGGCACTGTGGCCAGGGTCTACCCCTTTAATGTCTCCGGGGCTGGGGGAGAGGAGAGTAAGTTTTCCTGGTTGTGCCCAGAGTGGCCACCAGGGCTCACTAGGAAGGGCTGGAGGCCCCCTTTTTCGAATTAAGTGTCTACATAGGACTTAATTTGAAATAGCTATTTCGAATTTGGTGTTACTCCTCATAGAATGAGGTTTACCAAATTCGAAAGAAGGGCTCCACTATTTCGAATTTATTTCGAAATAGCGGTTTGCCTATGTAGATGCTATTAAAGTTAATTCGAAATAACTGCTGTTATTTTGAATTAACTTTGTAGTGTAGACATACCCTATCAGAATAAATAAGGAGTGGAGTAGTATGCTCTAAGCAAACTTGGTTCTCTCTCAATGCAGAGGACTGGACAAGATGATCTCCTGCGATACCTTCCAGCCTGCATTTCTATGGTTCCATAATGTAAGCAATCTATAAGATAGGTCATTCATGCTGAGTATGTATGGGAAAAATGCTCTTTTATCCCTCCATGAGCATTAAAAATCAATATTTAAAAATTAAATGAGATGTGTCCACAGTTGTTTCTACTTGAAATCAGCTTCCCCAACCTTCACTCTACTGAAGTCTTAAAAAAAAAAAAAAAAACCTGGCTTTGAAAACCATTACTTGATGATCTAAACAAATGTCAACTAAAATAACATGATGTATCCCAATGGGCTAGAAAATACAGAAAACAAAGAGAGGTAAATGGAAATAGGACACCATCTAGCCCAGTAGCCTGTCTGCCGACAGCGGCCAACCCTAGGGACCCTGGAGGGGATGGACACCACTCCTACCCCCTGGCTAATACCACTCCATTCCATGACTTGATCTCACGTCCCTTTAAACTCTGTTCTAGTTCTAGCCTTCACAGCCTCCTGCAGCAAGGAGTTCCACAGGTTGACTCTTTGCTTTGTGAAGAAGAACTTTCTGTTACTAGTTTGAAGCCTGCTACCCATTCCTTTCCTTTGGTGTCCTCTAGTCCTTCTTTATGGGAACTCATGAAGAACTTTTCTGTATGCACCCTCTCCACCCAGCTCCTTCTTTTAGAGGCCTCTACTCTGTCCCCCCTCCGTCTCCTCTTTTCTAAGCTGAAAAGTCCCAGTCTCTTTAGCCTCTCTCCATATCGGACCTGTTCCCAACCCCTGATCATTTTAGTCGCCCTCCCCTCTCCCAGCCTCTCTCTTCCCCTCTCCCACCTCCTTTTCCCAGTCTCCCCCAGTTTTGTTCAATAAAGACAGATTCCATTTTTGAACACAATTGTCCTTTATTCTGTACATCAAGAAGAGGGGCTAGGGAAGAGTAAGTGGAAGGAGGTGAGGGAGAAATGGGGCACGAGCCCCCGATGGGGAGGACTGGGCTGGCTCTGTGGGCTTCTGGGGGTGGAAGCTCTCCTGCAGCCCCCCAATTACCCCCTCTCCGCAGATGGCAGCCTGCGGCAAGTGCAGCCGGGCTGATGGCTGAGTGGTGTGATGTGCCCAGTGTGGGTAGTCCGGGCAATCCAAGCCAGGACTGCTTTGCAAGTGGGGCACCCCTGAGAACTGTCTGTCTGGGGTGGGGGTCGGGACCCTTTAAGCACAGCCCTCGGTTAGCCTGAGACAGCATCTCTACGCTCTAAGTCCTCCTCTGATGCCCTGCCGGCACTGCTTCCGGCCATCCTTAAGCCCGGTTCAGGATCCGTTAGTTCAAATTAGCTTAGTTCGAATTAACTAATTCGAACTAAGTTAGTTCGAATTAACGTTGTAGTGTAGACATACCCTCAGTGTCTACACAGCACTTAATTCGAAATAGCTATTTTGAATTTGGTGTTACTCCTCATAGAATGAGGTTTACCAAATTCGAAATAAGGGCTCCACTATTTCGAATTTATTTCGAAATAGCAGTTTGCTGTTACAGTTAATTCAAAATAACTGCTGTTATTTTGAATTAACTCTGTAGTGTAGACATACCCAGAGTGAGTAGGGAAGTTTATATGATAAGAGGGAGTTCTGTTTATTGTGCTTATATGAACAAGGAGCTTTCCCCATGTCTTTTATTGACAAGCAGCAGGACAGGAATGTAATATAAATGGCTAAAATTGATGGAACTTCAGAAAGAGGAATAATTGTGTTCTTTTGGGATTGAGTCTTATGGTTAAGAACACTACCCCATCTTTCTTCCATTTGGTTGCCTTCATAGCTAATGTTCTGAATTTTCTCATGAAGTATATCTCTCTCCTTTATAAAGCGTGGATCTCTGTGCAGTAACCTACTGCACATGCCTGTGCATAAAATTATGTGCACCTAAGATTGAAAACCCAGTCAAGCCTCAAGTCCTGACATATTATTGACCTCTAAGTAGTCAATTTCCCTCCAATTTGTTTCCAAAATATAATAGAAATGTGAGGGATGTTTCCTGTGGCAAAGATTCATGAAGCAGTGACTTGGTCACAAAGGTTTATAGAAAACACATGATGAGGTTTTTTTTCAAACCCTCTCGTGGAGGGGACTTGCACCCCCTCCCCCTCTTTTCCTTAGGGCAGCCCATCCCCTCCTCGCGCACACACCCCCGCCACAGTGGCCGGAGACAGACATACCTACATGAACACTGCTCCGATAGTGAATCTCCCCACGCTGAACTGGTTCCCCACGGATCGGTAGCTCTCCGGCGTGGAGAGCTTCCAGAGGGTGATGGCCACATGCTTGTGGAGGGGTATGGTGGGCCTCATGAGCCTGTCTCATCACCACAGAGCAGGGGCGAGCCACTCACGGAGCTCAAGTAAGGTGTCCTTCTTCATCCTGAAGTTCTGGGTCCACTGTTGGTCTCTCCAGCACTCCAGGGCGATGTGGTCCCACCAGTCGGTGCTGGTGTCCAGACCCCAGATGCGGCAGGGAATGCTGGCATCTGGCCGCTCTCCTCCACGGCTCCCAGGAGGGTCCGGAAGAGGACCTGGGGCTTGGGCTGCCGCAGAAGCTGCCAGGCAGTCTCCAGCGCTTTCTGCCAGCCTTGCAGCAAGACATCCAAAATGAGCACTAGAGTGCCCAGAGGCAGCTCTGGCTCCATGATGCCGAGTGCTGTGGTGTCCCGAGTCAGAGAAAAAAAATGCTTTGCTGTCCCTCATCAAGGTAGGCAAGCAAGCAGGAAAGCCTGAGAACCGGCTGTCCAAGAGGGTCCCTTTAAGCACAAGCCTCAGATAGCCTCAGACAGCAGCCACACAAAGCAATTACTGACCTGATACCCTGCTGGAACCGGTTTCAGTGTCCAATCAGTGTAGATGCACTATGTCAAAATAGCAAAATGATATTTCAAAATGCATTTTATGTGTAGAAGCGTTATTTTGAAATAACTTATTTGGAATTAACTATTTCAAAATAAGATATTTTGAAATAACGCTGTAGTGTAGACATACCCTATCGGATATTTTCATGTGGATTGTTCTTCAGTGCTCTTGCTGAAGTCTGTTCCACTTTAATAATAATTGAGCCAGAAAGAAAATAATTGAATAGCACATTGATTAGGGTAGTGAATTGAGAGATTGGAAACTCCTATTGAAATTCTGTCTCCTTATCAGACTGAGAGAAGGCACTTGATGTATGGATGTAAAAAGTTAACCGGTAAGCATCAACCTTAATGGTTAACCAGTGAGGGCTGGTGCAGTTCCATTTTTCTGCGGGTGGGGGGCTGCTCCAGTCCTAAAAGGTCTGTCACAGATAAGGGATCTCATGCGGAGCTGGAGCAGCTTCTGTTTGCAGTGGGTATGGATACGTCACCAGGCAGGGGCTGTTCCTGCCGTCCAGAGCAACCCCTATCTGTGGTGGGCCCAGGCGCACTGCAGGTAGGGGCTGCACTGTCTAGGCTGAAGCAACCCCTGCCTGAGGTGGTAGGGCTCTGCGCCCACCACACTTCCCATCATTTAATTGGTTAACTGGTTAAACATCACCTTGACCTGGTTAACCAACTACATGGGATTTTATATCCCGAACATGAAACATGGTCCTCTGTATCCCACATGAGTATCCTTTCACATGGGTGAATGTTTACAAAGTTTACACTTTTGTATTCCCAGCCCTCAGCTGATTTGTACAGATTTAGGCACAAGAAACTATTTAGGCACCAAAGCTGCTTCATTCCAAGAAAGGCTTTTCCCAGTTTTAGATCCCAAGCAGTGATAGAGGCCCCTGCAGCACAGACATAGATGCCTAAATCCATGGGAATGGCAGAGCTTAAAACACACCCATCTCATCAGCATCTCTCATTGTCTAATGTAGGGTGCTTCCCACTTAGCCTGCTGATATCTGTGAATCTCATTCTTAGGAGCCATTCTGTCCATATAGGATCCTTAGGTAACTAACTCAGGTTCTGTGGACCCATTGTTGTGCCATTCATTTTTTAGGAATAGAGAGGTAGCTGTGTTAGTCTGATCTTACTAAAACAAAAGGAAAAAATATGTAGCACTTTAAAGACTAACAAGATAGTTTATTAGGTGATGAGCTTTCGTGGGTCAGCCCCGCTTCTTCAGATCATATTCTGAAAGAGAATTGACATGACCATATATACCAAAGGAATACAATGAAGAAAGTGAACACATTATAAACTAAAAAATCAAATTTTAGGACAGAAGGTGGGGCGAGGGAGAGGGAAGGAGGAAATATCTTATTGTAAATCAATGAGTGGCTAATCTGGAGTTACTAGGACTATCAATAGGTGGGGAAGCCACTCCTATACTTCACACGTACAGAGTTCTTCCACAATTGACCCCTACAATCCCATCTCTAAAATAGTTACTGCAGAAAATAGCAAATGTTTCGTTGCAGTTGAAAAAAGGGATTAGAAGCATGGAGAAACTTTTATAGTGGAAGAGACTGCAAGAGTGTGTGTGTTTTGTTTGGAGCAGAGATCAGTTGAGCAGGGCCTAATATTTACATGAAAAAATGAATGACCTAGACTCTTCCATGCTATAACCATGGTGTGAAATACCAACTTATCCAAATCAATAGCAGATCTAGCCATTTGTTAACTCCACTATCATGTATCATATAAGGTCATTGTGAAATGAGGAACATCATATTTCAAGGGCTCTGGAACAAAATGCAAAGTGACATATTCAAATGCAAATTAATGGGTCTTCATCACCAACTGAAGAAGAAACCCAGGGTATACCCATATGTTGCTCAGGCATCTGGAAAAGGCCATTGCAGTGATTCATTCCTAATTCACTGGAACAAAGAATAAAAGAGAATTGCCACCTCTGGAAATGCTTTCCTGTTTCTGCTTGTACCACACTGAGGGCTGTGATACAGGAAGGGTCTCTTTTTTGAGTAAGTATTTTGTTTAATTCGAAAGGGCAAGTGATCAGTGCAGAGGAGCAAGTTCTGTGTTCCACTCCACTCTACTCCCTCTTTGTGCCTTCAACTGCATCCTCTTAGCTGTAAATTCTGCAGGTGTGAGGGAGTCCCCCTGTGGACATGCATTTGACATGGCTGACTGCCAAGCCACCATTTCCTGGTGAACTGAGTATGATAGCGGCAGGAGATGGGGTCAGATCATGCTGTATTCCAGTTAACATTAGCTGTCAGTCTCTCCCTCGGGGATGCTGTAACCTGTCTCTGGGACTGGGGCTACACAGAGAATTATGGAACTCTAATAATCTCCCAGTATAACTTCTTAATTCTGCCATTATTTGTCATGTCCATTCTGATTTAACTAGCTCTGCTGTCACACTCCTATCTCTGTATTTTTCCTTCCTTCTTTCTGGAAGTGAGTTGTAGCTTACAAAAGCTTATGCTCTAATACCCTGAGACATTTGTTAGTCTTGAAGTGCCACTGGACTCCTTATCTTTTGTACTATTGCACAAGGAGAAAAAGGGCATAGAAGGGCACTGCACATAGTATCCATCAGAAGGCATTCTAGTTTGGCATACATAGAAGGGCAGATTTTTTTCTTTTTCGAGGGTGTGTAACATCTGCCTTCCTAGTTGAGAAGGCTGCAGATATACTGTCAGAAGAGGTAGGAAGCTAGAGTATTACTGATGTTATAATGACTGAACCAAGGTTCCCTCTAAGCTGTGTGGTAGCATGGCCCCGTAGCTGTTTAATGAGTCCTGCCCAGTCAGGGACTCCTCCCTTAACTAAAAGCAGCATTTCCCTGCTAAGGACAGAGCAGCAAGCAACTCACTCACTCATTTGAGACTGACTTTCATTATTTAGAAATTTTCTGAACTCCCTGATTTGCAGAGGACCTGAGAGCTGGCAAATCCCAACAGGAGAAGCTTGCGTGCAGCACCTTTGAAAATCTGGCTAATGATGCTTGAAGTCATTGGTAAATAAATATGATCACATTTAATCTTGACTTTATTTCAAACCATTCTCCATCATGCTGTTTAATACAATATTAACATATGTCCCTGTCTTCAAATATCTACTGTTGTAGCTTGCTTGTACAGGCTTATTTTCATAAAGCAGTACTACTTAATTTAATTAATTAATTTAGTTAGTTTTCATTAGAACAGATTTCTCCAGCATGAAGACTTGAATTACCACTTCTATGAAAAAGATACTAATGTATAGAAAATGCTATAATATACACCTGAATATTAACAAGCAAAGAATATAACATGTTATCTTTCGGTGCTGATAAAAATATGACAAACACCACTGTTTTTATAAAAGGAATATTATAGTATGAAAACAAAAACAATAAAAAACCCTCAGTTGTGTAACAGAATCTTTTCTGTATAAAACTGTTACAGAGTTAACAGTTTATAATTTAAGGAAGCATTAGTTTGCCATCAGCCTTCTGTAATAAGTTAGAGGTTTTCTTTCTGGAAGACAGCAGACAGTACTTAAGCATTGCCCTGACACGTCACATTTCTTCAGACTATATTCCCTGTTTACAAGATTTTTTTTGCACATATGTGTGTGGCATGTGCTGCAAGTTGGTGTGGCAGCATACCAAGAGGGAGGTTTTAGCTATCTAAACTTACTCATCACTGCACTGAGTTATAAATTATAAAAATATGATTAGCCCAAGGACTGTGCTTCCCTATTAGTCTCCTGAGACACTAAGAAGATGCATGTGGTGAAGTATTTTAGTCCATCTTTGTGAAGGTTAATGAGTACAGACAGATCTTTAATTCTGTTCTGGAGATGATAAAAAGTGTAGTTGGCCTAATATCTCATGAAAGGGTTTTCTGTAGTTACTTGCCAGATGCTAAGATGACTTTTATAAAGGCATTTCATCCTTGGTATGATGAAGTTCTGTCTCTGTCCTTGAAGAGCACAGTTATTGAGGCAGGTCATGGTCACTGAAATACAGTCTCTACTCAAAAACCCAGATCACTTAGAATGTTTAAGGTTAAGACAAGGACTTTAAATTGGGTCTGGTATTGGATAAGAAATCAGAGAAGCTTGCAGATTCCTGGGGTGGCACATTGTTTAGAAACATATGGTAACATCTGGAGTTTCTTTCTATCCCAGACATTGTGAATTGCAGAATTTGAGCCAACAGATCACCATGACTCGGCTTTGCGTCTGAAAGAAGCGGACATGGCCTCTTGCCTTAGAGAAGATGTCATTAAACAGTTCCAGTTGAAGAGAGCATGACAGTCCAGGACTTATAAGGAATCTAGAGGGATCCCTAGAGTGCACAACAAACAGACGATTGGAGGACAGATGTCCCCTTTTAGCGGCAAAACTATGGCTTGGCTTGACATATGCAGTCTTGTCCTTTCATATCCATTCAGAATGTTGCTACGAAGATCATTTCCTAGCTTATTGCTCTATCACCACTCTTTGCATCCCTTCACTGATTCCCCTTCTATCACAACAAACATAAGGGGCGCGTCTACACTGGGCCACTTATTCCGGAAAATCAGCCGCTTTTCCGGAATAAGCCGCGAGCTGTCTACACTGGCCCTTGAATTTCCGGAAAAGCAACGATGCTGTACTGTACAAAATCAGCCGCTATTCCGGAAACCGTACGATGCTCCCGCTCGGGCATAAGTCCATTTTCCGGAAAAGCTTTTCCGGAAAAGGGCCAGTGTAGACAGCTTTTCCGGAAAAGCAGAAAAAACGGAAAAAAGCGGTTTGGACGCTGGGAGACCCCGTAGGAGCCGCGGACTTCCTGGTAAGCCCGAGCTGTTAAAGGGCTCTCAGGCTGCTGGGCGCACGTGCCAGGAGCCTGTCTGGGTCAGCTCTGCCGCCTGCTGTGCTGCCCAACACTTTTTTCCTTTCGGCTCACCGCACCATGGCAGCTCCTGCTGGAGAGCCCCCTGGACCCCCAGCGGAGGAGGCCCCCAGGGGCCGCAAAAGGCGGGCCCCATCCTGGAGCCCCAGGGAGCTGGAGGCCCTCATCGAATTATGGAAGGAGGAGGAGGGTCTCCACGACCTCCATTCCCGGCGCCGGAACGCTGATCTGTACACCCGGCTTGCGCAGAACCTGGCCCAGCAGGGACACCCCAGCCGCAATTGTGAGCAGGTCCGCTCAAAAGTGAAGGAGCTGCGGCTGGGGGACGGCCGGGGCCCCGCGGGCGGGGGGGG